AGATGGAAAACGAACCAATTCCAATCGCTGCCTACCTCGATCAAGAAGCAAAAGACTTGACGAACAATCCAATGTGCGGAAGCAAGACGTGCTCACGGAAGACGCTATTCAATTTGTTCTGCGTCAATTTGCCTGTACCAACACAACCTCTGGTGATACCGGGCTCAGCTGTGCCTCTGGTTATATTCGCGAGACCCCCCATCCCCCACCAAGATGCTTCTATTCTTCGAGGAATGCTCACTCAGGAAGCTCCTGCTCCAGGAACGGCTCTCGTTGGTGCAGCATCTACATCTCAACCGGGTCCATCAGTCCCGGCTCAACATGCTCCAGGAACGGTCCTCGTTGGTGCATTATCTACATATCACCCAGTTAATTGTGTGCATTGACTGCTACAAAGAGTAAGTTCTTATATACATCTGCAAACCACATTATATGATTTTCAGACAAAGATTGAATTAAAGGTGTTACTTCAAGAACATAGTTGAAGAGCTCATCGCCATCTTCGATAAGTATCGAGTCGCTGATCTTCAGGACAGGACAACAGGACAAGTAGTGGTTCACTCTCCTAAGCCAAACGCCTCATCATCTTCAGAAGACACAGAAGTTGAGGGAAAGGACAACAAAAAAGAGGGAACTTCGGAAATACGGAAGAGAATCAATACGTGGTGCCTCGACCATGAAACCACCGAGGATGCTTGGCTAGATGACAATATTATCAAGTTTTATCTCGAATTGATGTGCTCCGATCACAATGAATACAAGGTCATTGACCCAACTCTATGGCTGATGTACAAAGCTCATAAAGACGATAGACTCTTGTGGATTGAGCAACATTTGAACCACGACAAGACCTGCTTTTTCCCAATCTGTGAAGCAGGTCATTGGATACTTCTTATATTCAATAAGACCAAAATTTGGTATGCGGATTCATCGTACGACGAGCCGAAGTGGAAAGTGAAAATCTTGATGAAGCTGATGAACAGAACGCCTCTAAGTTTCGATATTCGGAACCCTAAGCAGCAGGACAAGGTCAACTGCGGAGTTCATGTCTGTCTTGTTGTCAAGTCGATAGTGACCCAGCAATTCCTTTCATGCTTACTCTATAATAATTTAGATAAAATGATTGCTTCCCTCTGCATACCGATCTTATTTATCTCATTTTATCCTTCTAAATAAATGGTTTAATTACTCAAATTTGACACTTTTTGTCCTCTTTTACAGGTACCGAGATAAGTTGGTTTTTGAGATTGTCCAAAGATGACCTAACATTCCGAATTTCCCAATTCCTGAGATTGTTTTGTTTTGGAATTACCCTCATTCACCAAAACACGGCACAGCTGGCCCCAGCTGCTGATCGCTCGCGTCGCCCGAACTTGGCTCGCTGCCAACTTTCAAATCTATGTTCCCTTCTGCGCCAGAAACATTAACAATTAGACGCAATGGTGCTTCAGAGAGACGCAGATGTTATGTATCCATTTCCAATGAGACACACAGAAAGCGATAGATTGAGAGACGCAGAGAAGCAGAGAAAATACAATGCCAGCTCTCGTCCTTGCTATTCAAATGTATGTGGTGGTCACACGAAAGTGAGAGATAGTGGGATGTGAAGAGACGCGAGTGGGGGGGCGGAGCCAATACATGCGTTGCCCTCTATTGTCCGTCCTTCTCTCATTGTACCTCTCGACGACCTAGCTGCATGGACGTCTAAAAGGGAACATTCCAGGAAATCCTATAAATGCATGGATTCTGGAATGTTCCCTGTCTATTTTTCTGAAATTCTATTATTCTAGAACTTTCCAATAAACCCTTTGAATGAATGGGTTTTGGAGTTTTCTATTTTCTATTTTTCTGATTATTTTTATTTTTAAAAACGATGTATTTGGCTTATTGGAAGGTGAGTAAACTTTTTAGTTAACTTTTTGCTGGAAATTCTGATTTTTTGTACTAAAAATCAAAAAAATTCCCAAGCAAAGCTGAAAAAGTTACTTTTTTTTGAATTTCCAATTTTCAAAGTAGTAAATTTGAGTTCTGAAAACTAAGTAATAGAGAAGAATAATGAGAAGTTGCACAATTAGAGCTAAAATGAAAGTATTGCCAATTAGAAAGTCTGGAAACTCTATCCTTCCAATTGGAGAGGCAGCCTTTAAAGGCGCATAACTGTAAAACTACGGTAGCTAGAAGAAAATTGCTAACTAAAGAAATAAAAAACAAAAGGAGAACTTCAATTTTGTAGTTGCCAACTTTTTAGTGGCTACTGTAGTTTTTGACCTATGCGCCTTTAAAGTTCGGACACCCTTTTTCGCCGTTAGGTGCGTGCGCGTGCAGTCTTTAAAAGCGCATAGGTCCTCAATTTGAGCTCAATTATCTCTGTTCCCATAAGAGCCTAAAAATGCCCTAACATTACCCTGGTCTGTTTTCTGGGTCATTTTGAAGTGGTGGCCTAGAAAACCAAATTTGCAAAAGTTATGCCACCGCTTCAAAATGATCCAGAGAGCTGGGTCAAGTTGGGCTAAGCCGATGAAAGCTAGAGTAAGCTAGTCCAAGCTGAGCCAAGTGGGACCAAGACAGACAAAGATAGGTCAAGCTGGGTCAAGCTGGGTCAAGCCGGGTTAAGCTAGTCTGAGCCATGCTAAGCTTGTCCAAGCTGGGCTGAGCTGGGTCAAGTTGGGCGGAGCCGATAAAAGCTAGAGTAAGCAAGGCCAAGCTGAGTCAAGCGAGACCAAGCCAGACTAAGATAGTTCAAGCTAGGTCGAGCTGGATCAAGCCGGGCCAAGCCAGGTCGGGACGGCTCCAATTTTTTGATTTTTTTTAAATTATCTGAATTAATCAAGCTCGATACAGGTTGGTTCAGCTTGGACGTTATAATAAAGACAAAATAAAAAAGTGTTTTTAAAAACCTTGGAAATTCCTTATGAATTTTGTGAAAACATTTTTTTTTCTGTCCGAGCCAGAGCATTTTCAAAAAGTCCTAATTTCCAGAGCAACAAAAGAAGCGGCCAGAATCAAATTGGAGAAGGAAATCAGGGATCTTTCCGAGAAGTCAATGTGAGTTTACCATATTTTTCACGGGCCAGACCGGGTCAAAATGAATAATTCTTTGTCCCTTTGGTTCTAACATATCGAAATTCTGTATTTTTGGTGAAATTTTTGATAAAATTTCAATAATTCGATTTTTCTGTAAGGGTATCATCAGAAACTATGATTTCCGAAGCAACTCTGTTTTCTTTTTAGACTCCTATGGCTGAAGATGTGGCGCTCCCCGATTTCGTGAATGGAGAAGCTTCATTGGCTAATGTGAGTGATAAAAATAGAGATTTGTTTTTCAACTTTCTGAAAATCGTACTGAAGCAAGACAATTCAATTTTTCAGGGCCCCCAATCGACTCTTCCGCCGGCCCTCTCCCAGATGATCCAAGCAAGGATCAAAGAAATCAATCAACAAGTGAGTTTTCGTACACAGAAGGTTCAGAAAAATATAGAAACGTTTTTCAGCGCTTTGTTCCTCGTTTCCCCAAAACCAGTAGAAGAACACAGACAAAGTTCGATTGGATTCAATCCAACAATGGGGTTCAAAGGGGAAGTGGCATCCAAGTGTCAAACACAGAAGTTCGAGAGGATCTTGAGGAACCTGAAGGATCCGAGAAAAGGAGATCGATTGGAATTCAAACTCCATTCGTCATTCGCACTGAAGAAAAGAAGAAGAACATCGAGTACATCGATTGGGAGCAGTTGGATGAAAACGACCATATGGCTCAAATCGAGGAAAGACAAAAAGCCATTGCATCCAGAAGACGTGACAATCGCCGCCGTCTTCAAGCTCATCGTGGAGACGGAACTTTGGGAGACCCCATCTTTGTTGGGTCGTCGGACACCGAAGACGAGGAGGCAGAAGATGAGCAACAGGAGGACCCAGAAGGAGTTGACTCCGTAAAGGTCGAAGCTGAGAACTTTGTTGCGAGACTCCAAATTGCCAATCTGGATTCTTCGAAGCTCATCGAGAAGTTCATTGCCGATGTGTCCTCAAACGAAGGTAAATTTATACTTTATTGTAATTGAAAACAGACCAGAATCATGTGAGGGCATTTTTAGGCCATTTTAAGGTGGTGGCCTAGAAAACCAAATTCGCAAAAGTTAGGCCACCACTTCGAAATGACCTAGAAAACAGACCAGGGTAATGTTAGGGCATTTTTAGGCCATTTTGAAATGGTGGCCTAGAAAACCAAATTCGCAAAAGTTAGGCCACCGCTTCAAAATGACCTAGAAAACACACCAGGGTCATGTTTGGGCAATCCCTGGAAAACATATCAAAAAATTGTCAAATAATAAAATGTTACTGATATTGTGTTAAACATTTTATCAGTTGACACATTTTTGATATCTCTAATAGGAATTGAGATAATTGAGCTCATACTTCAAGTATAGGGTTGCTTATAGTATTTTTTTTACAGTTCCTTGTTTTGGAGATATTCCAGTTTATCACCCAAATGATTTCGGTCTTGGAATACGTTATGTTAGATCTTGATGTTTTTTTTTTGGATTTTTCAAATATTTCAATTTCAGTGATTTTCAAAGTCTCCTGGATTGTATGGAAATGTGTTCTTCTCTTCGCTAATTGGCTCAATGTGTCTTTTGGTTTTTTTTTGTAACTTTATTAACCTTTCCTTTTATCTCATTTCAATCTTTATCAATAAACTGTTTAAACCCTCAAACTTGACCTCTTTGTAGTTTTTTTTTTTCAAGTACCGAGATAAATTGTTTTTTGAGATTGTCCAAAGATGACCTAATTTGCACTCGATGTGTTTTCTTGACCATAAAACTCGGTGGCCTAAATTTTTCAAGTTGATTTTCCTAGGCCACAAACTTTTAAGATCTAAAAATGACATGATGTTCATGTGGTATAGTTTCTAGGTCTTTTAACGAGGTGCCTAACTTTTGCAAGATGAGTTTTCTAGGCCATCATGATAAAATGACCGAAAAACACATCTGATGAATATCAGGTCATTTCTAGACTTGAAAAGGTGGAGGCCTAGAAAGCTCAGCTTGCAAAAGTTAGGCCAACATGGTAAATGGCCTAGAAAAACCATCGGAAGAACTCAAAAGCCCAAGTACCTTTTCAAAAATACTTTTGTATTTGTTGACATAAATTACTAACAATTTTTTGAAAAAAAAAGAAAAATTGAAATTATTGAAATAATTTATTGAAATAAAAAAATTTAAAAGAACGGAACTTATGAACGATCGGTGAATGGAGATACTGAATATACTTGGAATTTGTGGACAGAAATTCTGAAATCTAAAAATATTTTTAATTGAAAAAATTAGATTTTATAATTACCTTATTAATTCAGCACAATAATCTTTGGACCCTCCTCTTCAATATCTTCAGAATCCAACGTGATGACTTCTGGAGATCCGTTTGGATGGTCGAACTCTTTAAATTTGTTGATTTCCATAATTTCAGAATCTTCATCTTCAGTTTTCCATGGATTCTCGTATAAAGTGATTTCTGGGTCGAATTTCGAAATATCAGAATCATCCTTCAATTTTGGATTGAATGGTGGACGATATTCCATTCTCTTCAACATCTCCCAATCGATTTTTCCAAAGAAATTGGACTTTTTGATTTCAAAAATTCCAAATCGTTTCTCCACTTTTGTGGTGAGCAATCCTTTCAAAAACTGAGCAGACATGTGAGATAAGCTCATCGGGATCTCTAATCTCTCATTCTTAATTTTCTCCTTTGTCGCTTCTCTCGTCTTTCCGTTGAATGGTGATTCTCCAACTAACATCTCCCATGCCAGCACTCCAAGTGCCCAGTAATCCACTTCATGACCATATGGCTCTTTTCGAATCATTTCTGGAGCCATTGAGTCGAGTGTTCCAATTCCAAAAGTTTTAGTTTTGGCGCCAAGTGGGAAATTCATTTTGCTCAAACCGAAATCTGCGATTTTGGCATCTCTTCTTCTCGAAATCATTACATTCGATGACTTCAAATCTCTATGCATTATATGACTCTCGTGAAGATACTCCAAACCCAATGCAATTTGTGCCAAGTAGTATCTGGCTTGGGTTCTCTTCATTGGTCCTTTCTCTTTAATTAGACTATAAAGTTCTCCTCCATTCAAGAGTTCTAGCACTAGGAACACTTTTTCTGGGGTCTCAAAACATTCGTACATTTCACAGAGAAATGGGGATTTGGTTTTTTTGAGAATTTGAATTTCTGATATCAAACGGCTTCGACCATCATAGTCCACTGGCTTTTTAATCGATTTTATGCATTGGGCTCCATTTGCATTGGGCTCCATTTGGGTCACGGGTTGATGCCAGATAGACCTGAAAAGAAAGGAAAATTTGAGGAGGGAAATGCGCTCCATTGAACTGTCATCCAAACTTTAAAAAAAACCATTGAATTTATCATTTTGAGAGCTTCAAAACAAGTATAAACACGGCTATGTTCCTTTAAATTAGAAATTTCAAGTTTAAAGGCGCATAGAGGAGTCGAAATTCCAAAATTCCAGAAAGTAGGTCATGTTTATACTCATTTTGAAGCGCTTATCATGCTGAATCAGAAAATTCATATTTCGCAGCTCTATGTTCAGAAGAAAAGAGTCGGTGCGCCTTTAAACTTTGATATTGGCGCCAAAATCAACTTTGGATTTGTCCGCAACTTTTTTTGCTCAAAGTTTTGAAATTAAAAAAAAACTCACTTTTCCGAATCCTCCTCTTCCCAAAACATTCCATAAAAGGAAGTCGTCAATTGTCTTGGCCGACTCAGTTGGCTTGGATTGGGTCATTCTGAAAGTTAGGAGCTTAGAAATTTACAAAATTAAAAATCAAAAAGCTACTGTATTCCTTCTAATAGAGCCATCCAAACCACCAACTTTGAGCTCAATTATCTCGGCACCTGTGAAAGATATCAAACAATTATCAACTGATAAAATGTTGGTGATAATATGATCAACATTTTATTAGTGGACCAATTTTTACATCGTTTACAAGAACCGAGATAAGTTGGCTTAAAATTGACGGTTTGGGTGTTTGGAGGGAATACGGAAATAATCAACGACAGTAAAAAAGAAACCAACTAACTGCACTATGACTGAATAGGGCATAACTAACCAGGTGGGGCGTACCTTCTTTCCCAGAATACCAGTCAATGATTCCCTTTTGTCTTATCTATAATTACCAGGTGGATCCTTCCTAGAATCCCTTTTGACCTCATGTCGGACATTTTGACAGGTACAGTACCCAATTCCAGTGTCCTCGTGGGAAAAAGATAACTTAACATCAAACAGGCATAGCTTCTTCTAAATACCGTAATTTCTCTCTAACTTTACTCAAATGAAGGGGGCCTAAAAGAAGGGCGGTCTAACTTCGACCCAATTTATGTTGATCATATTATAAGGAACAATTTGTCAATTGACCATGTTTTGATATCTTTCACAGTAACCGAGACTAATTGGATCAAAGTCAAGAAGCTCCTCCGTTCCACCTTGAGTTTTGAAAGCGCATTTCTCAAAAACTATAAACGATATCAAAATGATGTTAACTAACGAAATATCTAGAATTTTATGCACTACATTTTTGTAATACACTGTTTTGTTGATACCATAAGCCGCCTTTGAGATATGCGCCTTTAAAGTTAGCACACTAGAAAAGGGAGAGGAGAACACAGAGAAATGGAGCGCCAACTTCAAAGGCACATATCTTCAAAACTATGAACGATATTAAAACTGTTACAACTAACAAAGTATGTAAAATTTACTGCACTACATTTCGGCAATTACCCGTTTCTTGCTAACTTAAGCCGCCTTTGAGATATACGCCTTCAAAGTTGGCGGGCGCATTTCCCTTCTCTGCGCCCTTCCCTACCGCGCCAATTTTTCGCACTAAATTTTTCTAATTGATTGTTTTTTAGCAACTATTCAAGTTTTTCAGATAACGCTCTCTGTAAAAAAAGCTGCTCATTTATCTAAATGTCTAGAAGAGATGTCCAATAAATGAATTTTATTTAGGTCAATAGATATTAAAAACATCGGAAATAAAAGTGCTATAAGTCACCTATTCAGACCATTTCAAAAGTATGGGGTACAATAAAGTGGGGGAAGGATTTCTGCTTGATCCAATTGGGTGGACTTGGTATTTCTTCTACTTTATTCATTCTTTGACATGTTCGTATTCCTTTTGTTTCTATTTGAGTAGCCGCTCAGCCTTGAGAAAAGTAGCAATTGCTCTTTGATTTGGTGATCTTCGAGGATAATATAATACAGTCGAGATGGGATCTCAATCCATTATGAAGTTCCGTATTGTCATCCTTCTCGTAATGGTCACATCTTTTTTTGGTTTTGGGATTCGCAGTTGTTCGCGTAATCGTTCTATTGATCTTTTAGAAGAAAGCAAGTCATCTGAGGACGACATGACTGCTTCGTGTGAAGTAATATCTGAAAACGGACAGAATTTTTAATTTCAAAAAACACATTTTTAGGAGTGCCCTTCTATTAGAGAGGCATTTCTATTGAAGAGTCAATAAACCTAAAAAGTAGGTGTGTTAGAAACCGAAATTCCGATCCAAATATTTTCAGATAGTTTTTTTTTTCGAAATTCAGAATTTTCCCGAAACTTCAAAAAACTAGAAATTTTACTCACCTTTTTAGAATGAATATCCCAAAAAATAGATTATATTGGAAAGTTCTAGAAAAATCAGAAAAATAGACAGGGAACATTCCAGAATCCATGCATTTATAGGATTTCCTGGAATGTTCCAAATTTAGACGTCTATTCAGTCAAGTCGTCTTGAGATGCAATATGAATAGAAAGAGCGGAGAATGATAGCTGGCATTGTAATTTCTCTGTTTCTCTGCGTCTCGTCTCTGTATGTGCTCTCTCACTTTAGCGGGAACTGATCAATATAACATTCGTCTCTCTGAATCACTATTATGTCTAACTTTTTATTATTCCTGGTGCGCTTTCTTGAAATGGGGAATGGGGAATTTTCCCATGATTAATTCCGCCGGTTTTAGTTTCGCTTCAAAGTGCATGAGGTACTGTAGAAATCAATATAAATTTATTTGAAAAAGATTCGAGAAAAATAATCTTTATCTAGGCGTGTCAGGTCTGGTTTTCTTTCCGATCGGAGCATCCTTTTCGTGCATCTTGTCCTTTCTTCTGCAGTGATTTTTGGATCAATCTATAAATTAATCAATTTTTTATAGTTTTAAGATTATTAATATCTATAATAGACCTTGAGATAAATGAGCAGTTTGTTTTCAGAAGGGTATATCTAAAAAACTACTTCTATTCTAAATAATGTGGAATCACGCGGAACCACTACCAACAGTAACGAGGAGCCAGAGTATGTTTCATTCCTATAGAATCCCCAAAATCTTTTCAATTCTAGAATGGCTCCAAACCCACTCCCACGCAAAACAGCTTCTATTCTAAATAATGTGGGATCACGCGGAGCCACTCCCTCTCTTGACATAATTTCTTTTTGTGCACATCTGTCAACTGAAAAAGTGAGGTTAATTGAGAGGCTCGACCCCTGTACGCGCTTTTTAATACTGTGGTATCTCATTTCTGAGTTTCAATCGCTATGTCCTTTTGGGTTATACGATTCTCATCAATGCCGTTTTGAGGTGAGACTTGTCCCCTTTGATGCATTTTCGAGCTATGCCGTTCATTAAATATTAGTTAGCTACAGATTTTTCTGATTGGAAGTTATATCAAAAAGTTTTTATTAGAAATTATCCTGTTCGAGCTCAGTTATCTCGATTCCAGTGAAAGATATCAAAATTTTTTCAACTAACAATATGTATGATATCATGATAAATTCTTGATCAGTTGACCAATTTTAATTATCTTTCATAGGACCCGAGATGAACTGGCTCAAAGT